TTGGCGGGGAGAGGAGCACTTTTGCTTTATTTACAGCAGCATTTTCCCCTTTTTGTGTCATTTTTTGTGCTGCTGCCTGATCAGGTGAGGAAAGCTGTCACTCTTGTCTGTTGCTGGACATGGGGGAATGGATTCTCAAGCAGCTTTTGACCCAGGAACTGGCTTTTGCTGATGCTCCTGAAAGCTGAATTTGTCTGAGGGTGTGCCCAGACATCTGCCCACTGTTTCTGGCCTCTCCCAGGGGAGTGCTGCCCCATGACACTGCAGGCTATCACGTTTTCTTGGTTGCTGGTTGTTTCCATTATTCATACCGCAACTCTTTAAATATTCAGAGATCTCTTGACTGGTTTTTCAGTGACTTGTGGAGGATGAAGTGGTGGCACGGCTCGCTGAAGCCACCTCCACGCCTGGTTTAGTAGGATGCTATTTCTGATAAGCTATGTTTTTGGGAACTCTGGAGCTTACAGCCCTGACTCCAGACCAGAAGTGGCAGGGGGAAAAGGACTTAAGGTCTGTTTGTTTTACTTTTTTGTCCAGACAATAAGCGGGCAAATACTTCCAGGCTGTTTATATTTGGATAAGGCTGCTCGTGTCCTGTGAAAGGAAAATGACACATCTACTACTTCTCCTGGGGAGAGATGGTGTGGGACAAATGGATTCCTGATGTGGCTGCCAGAAGCCTCTTGATGCCACTTCTGGGATGTGTGGGATGGCGTTGGCACTGTGGCCCAGATGGGGAGGGCAGGGCAGGGGCAAAAATGCCTGGTTTGGCTCTGTTGGTGACATTTGTTTGGGGCCAGATGCACAGGAAGGGCAGGGCTTGGTCCCCAGTGCCAGCCCCATGTTGCTGCCTCCTTCTTTCCCACTGGGATGTGGGGCTATGGACACTGGGAGGTAGCCTCATGAGACTTCTCATTCAACAAGTTGTCTTTGGAGTCTGTGGGATGTGAACCACAAACTGAAGTTCTTTCCTGTGTTTTTCCCAGAAGCTCAGCCCTTCTTGGGACAGCACTACATGGGGGAAAGACACGAGGCATCGAGATTTGGGTGCAGGGCTTTGGGCTGGCTCTGCTCAGCTCCCACCACCCCTACCCAGGGCATCAGGTGCCTGACTCCTCCCAGGGACACCCAGCTGGTCCTGCCTGTGTCCCCCCCATCTGTTCTGGCTCTCTCACACCTTCCTGCAATGAATGGGATTTAGCAGCTGCAAACAGGACTGACAGCAACTCCTGGACAAGGCCAGTGAGGAGCCTTGTCCACCCCATTCTGGGACTGGCAGGGCCCCCTGCCTCAACACGAGCCTTGTCTGAGCACAAGTGATCACAGGATTCATTTGGGGTACACCACACACAGTGTCCCCCTTGTCCTGAAGCTGGGTCTAACAGATTTTGGAGCCTCCTGCCACTGTCCAGCTGCACAGAGCTGAGGGATGCTCTGCCCTCATCTCCCCTATTCCAACCCTCTCCTGCAAACCCAACGAATACCTGAGGTGTTTTCACAGAAGCTGGCAAGCCACAACATGAAGGTTCCAAAAAACTACCCCAAAGCAGGTTTTTTTTTCTATTTTTTTATTTTTTTATTATATATCACTCGCTTGCAGAAATCACCACCTGATTATCTCACAGGGAGAGGTCAGACAGTGGGAAGAGCAAGTGAACTTGAGGCACTATGGCCCTGAACAGGTCAGGGAAGAGGAATTCTCTTGGCTTACAGAGCCTTGGCAGCTCCTGGCTCTGTGGGCTTCACCCTGGGGCAGGTGCTGTGAAAATGTGCCAGGAACTCACAGCTCCACTGCAGTCTGTAACTCCAGCTGGGTCCAACACCCCTTTCTTGATGTCTAAATTGGTCAGATTTTTTTTTTTTTTTCCTTAGGGTTATTTTTTACCTAAAAGTGAAGAGAAACTTCTCTTCCTATTTTTTTTTTTTTTCCCCAGAGCTTTTGGAAGAACAAAGAGGGGGATGTAGCTTTCCTCCTTCATTCAAAGTTGGCAAATCCAGCCAAAACTTGCTCCTCCTCCTCCTCCAATTATTTTGCTCTTATTCGTAAATCTTGCCTATCTGTAAATTGGGCATTTCTGCATTTATTTTCATTCTGTGGAAATAACCAGTCCCCAGCCTCTCCTCTCTGATGTTTGTCTCCCCCTACATGCTGAGGTTCATTTGATTTAAATATTTCCAAACAGGCTGGAGACAAGAGAAGCAGCTTCTTGTTACCTGCAGCACCACATTTCACAGAACAAAAACATGATGTAATGAATGAAAAGGCCTGGAAACACTGAAAAACTACTTGAGAAGGAAAAAAATTTCAAATGAGCACATCACCATCATTTCACACACGGCCACAATTAAGGAAACAGCAGACCTGAGAGTCAAGGCAGTTTTGGTCTGAAAAAGCCCAAAGGATTTCAGCTCTGCTTCCTACTTCAGGGCTTAAAATGCAGCAGCTGTTAAAAGTCATGCTCTGGTGCTCCACCTGTCCTGAGTGTTGAATTCAAAAGCAGGCCATGAAACTCTGAGCTGAAAGGCCAGGAAAGCCATGAAATGGAGGACCAGGGACCTCTGTGCCTGAAGGAAAGACCCAGGAGGGGTGAACACCTCTTTCACCGCAGTAGCCTTCTGATTTTATGAGTCTTCATCTTTCCCTACACCTATTTCCTGTGAATCCAAGGTTTTGGGAGTTCTTTGGAAATAGATTTCAGATGCAATAACTCTCACCTAAAACCTGGCAGCAAGTTTTGCCTTCGGGAGCTTCTGACCCCAACTGGTTGTTGTACCCTGGATGAGCATCCTTGATTCATTCTCCCCATGAAGAAGGAGACAAAAATGAAGGATAGAGAGGTGGCTCCCTTGAGTAAAACACCCTCAGGCAGGCATCCACCACTTGCTTCAGCCTCTGAGGGAGGGCAAGCCAGCAGTGAAGAGGTGGGAAGGTTCTGCAGAATCCATGTCATGTGGATGTGACCCTTAAGGACATGGTTTAGTGGTGGCCTTGGCAGTGGCAGATTAATTGAGTTGGACTCAATGATCTTTAAGGTCTTTTTCAACACAGATGATTCAACAATACTTTCACCAGCTGAGTGCTGGCATCAGTGTGGGAGTGGTGCCCAGCCCATAGGGTTTAACTGGAGCAGAACACTGAAATGCCCCTGAGACCTGGCTCTTGGGTACTCCTGAGGCTCTTTTTGAGTCTTGGCTGATGGTTTGGTGTTGCTCCAGCACATTCCCACTCTCTTACTGCATCTCCAGCAGTCCCTTTGCAGAAGACCATGCTGGTGTCCCTGGACAGCTGCCAGTGCCAGCTGCCTCTATAAATACCCCTGGTATAAATTCAGAGAGCTCTGTCCCTGGCAGGCTCAGTCCTGATTTGCTCTTGTATAAGTCAAATATTTCAACTTTTGTACCAGGACAAATCATTTTTAGAAAGAGGACTAAAGCCTGTGTGCATGCCAATGTGCTGCAGCTCTGTGGCAATGAGCCTGGGAACTGGGCTGAGATGTCCATGTGTGGGTCAGACCAGTGGTTGCACTTTTCCTGTTTCATGGAGGAGTTGGCATGAAGCTTCCCATGGTTGCAGAACGCATCCTTCCATTCTGAAGACTCGAGTTGCCTTGAAGAGCACAGACAGCTCTTGCCCCCTGCCCTGGGCAGTAGAGCAGTGCTATTTCTCAGGCTGACCTAGAGGGACATTTCTTTACTGGGCTGTCCTTGTCCAGATTGATTTTCTAAATCTTTTCACATGGTGAGGTCAGGTCCCTGGGAACAGCCCTGTTGGATCCAAAGGGAGGAGGAAGGAAGCCTCTCTGGCCTGTGCCTCTCTGACAGCTCCCTGCAATGTTAAAGGGTGTCTTGGGGACAGGCTGCAGCCAAAGCTGCTTTCAGTCCTGACAGCCACATTTTTGATATCCACTGCCCCATGAGAGAATCAAGATTTATTCTTAAAAGGAAAAAAACATGCACTTTTCCTCTTTGCAAGGAAAACTCTCACTCCCCTTTTGCTCGCTTGCCAAGAAGAATGGCTTGCTGGGGGTTGAGGGAAACTTCTGCTCAGCACCAGGCAGATGCATGAATTCCTTTTCATGTTCCACTTGGCACATCTCCTTTTAGCACTTGAGGACTTTTTCCCTGGTCACAGAGAAAAGCTGGCAAGGAGAAAATAAGAGCCGGTGGGCAGCAGAGCCCTTGCCAGTGCTCTTGCTTTCCTAGTCACCCTGGTGGCTTCGGAGGAAGTTTTTTGGTGTATGAGTTTCCCCCCAGGGCAGATGTAACTGAGAAGAGCGATGTCTTTGCGTTACAGGAGACTGACAATTATTGGCATTCGGGCTTGAAACAGCCTGTCTTGAGATTGTGACACTCCCGTGTCCAGCAGAGCACAGGCAGAGGTGGGGAGCAGCCCCTCGGGGCAGGTCCACACGTGCTGCTCCTCCCTGCAGCTCCAGGGGCTGCTGGGGAGCGTGGGTGTGCTGGGGAATGTGGGAGCTGTGTCATGGGGGAGCGGGAAGGGTGGGAGGAATGACTGTTCTGTGCTTATATTTATCTCCCGGTTGATGACCAGGCTCGCAAAGCAGGATACGCCTCCCTGGAGCCCGGCAAACTGGTAAAAATCTACCTGGGAAGGATGCAAACCCAAACTCCCCCTACTAAAAATATGTAGGCAAATAGAGATTTTCCAAAACAGAGTTCTGGAATGCTAAACTTGGTGGTGATTCATCGAAGGAGGGGGGCACAGCTGCTTTATTTTTTCCCTGAAGGTGAGCAGGAACAATGTAAATCCCAAATGTTGTCCCAGCTACCCCCTCAGCTGGGCTGCTGTGCTTTGAAGTGCCCATCCATAACCCCATAGGCACCGGCTTCCCAAGAAGGCAGACCTGCCGCAAAAACAGGAATCCCTTATCGGGCAGCAGGAAATCCTATTTTTACATGAAGTTCAGAATAAAAATAAAAGGGAAATATATGCTCTGTGGCTAAAATTAAACCTAGAGCTTCTCCTCTGATGGCTGGCTCCTGCCACTCCCTGGATTGAGAATCTGACGGTGAACAAGAAGGATCCTGCTGTCCCTGGCTGCTCTCAGTGAGATCTGCTCTGCTGTGGGGCTTTTCTCCTCTCAGTGAGCTCTGTGAGTGTGGCTTAAATAAATCACCTTGGATCAGTGCAGTGGCCAAGGTCTGTGCCCTGGGCAAGCGAGCCAAATCCTTCAGTTTCTCACTGCCCTGTCACCTTTACTGCCCTGTGCCCAGCCCAGGCCTTTCTCTGACCAAAATTTCTGCATCCAGGTGGTACCACAAGATGTACTGATGCATCATGAGGATCTGTCTTGACTGAGTTTCCAGCTTTGGGTCTGCTTCCCCACAGGGGATGAACTGGTACATCTGGTCTGGATTTGAGCATTGCTTTACAAAGTTCTCTGGGATCTGTAGTAATGAAACAAGCCCAAAGCCACAGTCCCCAAACCTCTTCCTTTCCTGCAGCCCAACACTGAAAAGTGACTGCCAAAAACAGCGCTGTGGCTGTGTGTTTTCATTACCACTGTGATTTGTATAACAAATGCAGCCCATTTGCAGCCATGCTTTTGTTCTTCGACATCTCAGGCCTTTGCCAGCTGAAGCCACGCCTGCAGCTCTCCTCTGGGCTGCACCAGCTTCACCAGCTCTGTGGCACAGGGTGGCACTGAGACAAATCCCACAGGGACAGTTAAGGTGGCCCTGATGGCAATTGGTCAGCATTTCTGTAAGGCAGCTCATTTCAGACTTTTCTGTGTCGGACCAAAAGGCATTTTGCTTGGCTTCCAAAAAGCAATTAAACTGGATCCAGAAAAATCACTGAGTAAAATGAATCATGAGGTGCAGATCTCTTGGCTGCACATAAAATGGCAGTGATCACACTGACATTTTATGTGTGAGTGTGTATGTGTGTGTGTGTGTGTGTGTGTGTGTGTGTTCAGCCTACCTCCTGTCTGCTTATTTTTCTGCAACAAAGGTTTACTCTGAGCCTTTGGCTGCAAAATATGTTGTAAAAGATTGTTTGCTTGGAGTAAGTATTTGAGGGCATTTTCAACCTCCATCAGGAAAGCAAATCCCAGCAAATATTGAACACAACAGCCTGAGTTAGCCAGACCACTGCAGGTGCTTTAGCTGGGTGTTGGCTTCTTAGGTGCATATGAGTTTGAGAGCAGAATTTCTTTCACCTGAGCTGGTCTCCTCCAACTCAGTGAAATTACAGGAAGGTTTAAAAGAGTGGATAGAGAATGGTGGTATTGGGTTGCTGCTGAGAGCCAGGCTGTCTAGAGGGAACAGCCCCTGGAGAACAGGTAGGGAAATTGGAGATGGTGAAAGAGGGTGAATGAAGAGAAAGCATTTGGTGGTGGTTATGGATACTCTTGAGTATCTGGGGCTAGAGGGAATTGCCTGGGTTTTCTCAGCTGTGGTGTCATTTTTAGAAGATGGCTTTGTGGTTTTGGGAGAAGGTAGAGTTGCAGAATTCACCACTGCTACTGTTTCTGGCTATCCTGGACAGTTGCACATCTTGAAATTGAATGTTGCAGCATTGTTTGCTTTTCTTCTCATGTGCTGGAAGGGATGTATGTGGGGAGCCCCTCTCAGCCTTGCCAGCTAATGTGGGCAAGCAATTAAATTGTCTTGGGCAGCCCTGTGTGTGAATGAAGGCAGTTGGCTTGCATGCAGTGGAAAGTGAATGTCTGAAAGGCCTCCAGAAATGCAGGTCTGTGATCTCTGCTCCATTGTGTAAGTGCTTCCCACTTCTGCCATTTACTGTAAGATGAAGTGGTGAAATTTGGCATAAAGGAGAAGTGATGTGAAATGCTGCCCCGTCTGATTTGGAAGAAAACACTGGCTGTTCTTCCTCCACAGGGTGCAATCTAATTTGAACTTCACCATGTAAAATTATCTTGCTTAGTCTTAAAAGGTTTTGTGCTGAAAAACCTTACCTTGCTGTTTTGCCCCTTCACAGTCACTGTGAAAACTGTCCAGGCTGCTCCTGTTATGGAGAAGCTGGGGGGCTCTAGCCTGGTCCTTGTCCTTCCCGCTGGTAGGGGCTACATACTAGAGGTCAAATAGAGCATTTAAAGTTATTTTTATTTCATTTTCTGCAGTGGACTATATTTCCTGGCTGTTCCTCTTTCAATGAGGTGATTTTGGGGGATTAAATGTTAAAATCCTGTGTGGTACTGTGGTGCTCCTGGGGAATATCGTGTATGCCTTCTGATGTTGTATCAAGCCTGTGCAATGATTTTTCTCTTATCTCTGAAAAAGAGAGGCATGTGGGGCCAGCAAAAAGAAAGGTACCCGTGAACACCTTTGGGTTGGGATGGGGAGTGCTATGTGAGTGAATCCTCTGCCAAAACCCCTCAGGTGAGAGGCTTCCTGAGCAAGGACAGCACCCACAGGGAAGGGGTAAAAGAGAGTATTCCTATATTTTATACAGTCTGTTTGTCCCAGATACTGAACTTATGATCTGACCCCAGAAATTGGGAAGAGCAGGTGCAATAGGTGCCCTGGGATGAGGAAAGGAGTGGGCTTCCCATGGAGGCCTCCAGGACCCCTGGGCTGCTGCAAACACGGGCTGCTATCAACACAACGTTTCAGCAGGGCTCTCTGGGGACTTTGGGGTGTCAGATGCAAACCTGTGTCCGAGGTCCCGCACAACACACAGGGCAGGTTGGCCCTGAGCAGAACAACCTGCCCATCTGGTCACTCTCCTCAGGCAGGCACAGGTGCCCAGGGGTGACAGGGGTAATACCACCATGAGGCAAGAGGGGTAAATGCAGAGCTTGTGTCCCTGGAGATTTTGGGGGGTTTTGCCTGTGATGGAAACTCTGAGTGTTGCCAGAGTGCAAAATGCAGAACTTGAGAGGCGAGAACACAGGGCAGGACTTAAAGTGAGCTCCAAGGCCAGTCCATCATCCTGAGGCGGGGAAGGACTCCATGTGCTTCTCTCACCTGCTGTCTCAGCTGGTGCACTTGAGTTTCTTGAACCTGGTCCTCATTTCACATTCAGCAAAAGAGAACAAATTTTGCAACACAACATGTTTAGGGGAGGAGGGGGGGGAGAAAATTCTGTCAGTCCTTCCTTTCTGAGATGTTTTGAGAGTCAAATTTTTATCAGAGGGAAAAAAACCCAACCCAAGACTCAAAACAGGAAACTCTTATCAGCTTGCCAGGAAGCTCTATTGCTTTGTGGAAGTGTTACCCTACGGTCATTGCTACTTTCAGTAGCTGTTTGTGAGTAATTTATGGCTGTAAGATGGGCGTCAATCTTCCATGCAAGCAGGGGAGAGGCCCTAAAGCTGGAAGGAGTAGTGGTAGGAATAGAGGGTGGAGGGGAAATACCAAGGAACAGGATTTGTATTATCTCACTACATATATTTACAACGATAAGATTTTCATTGTCTTCTATGGTAAATTATGATCCTGTTTTTGTTCTGTATTTGGATCAGGAAAAAGCAAACCCGTGTCTTCAAAAAATGCACGGGCTTAGTGTTCAGTGACTGTTATTCAGCAGAAGTAATCGAGGGACTTGGGATAATACGTAACATCTTGGCAGGGGAATTTCTAAATTACTGCCTTATGGAGTTCTGTGTGCTTGAATTCTAAATGTGTGCAGGTGTCTTTGTGTAAATCATATAAAAAATTATCTAAAACCTGTCAGAGGGGGTTGTCTGGTTCTCTTTTGTGTCCCAGTTTTGGTGTGCCCATCTCCAACACAGAGCACTTGTTAATGTCCAGAATAATTTCTTTAAAAACAGTGTTCTTGCAAAGTGTCTTTGGATTTAAAAACAGAGAAAACAGTGTTATGCAATGCATTAAGATGTATCTGAAAACTCTGTGTGTATGCACTTTATGCAGAGAGAGCAGGAGCTCACACCCCAAACCTGCCAGGTGGTTGTGTTGGCTCCTGGCCCAGTGTTTCATTTTATTTTGCCTTTTGTGCCCTGGCATGTCTATTCTAGTGCATTAAGGATTGCTGTCACTCCTGTAGTCACCCAGCACAATGGGGATCTTTCCACCAGAGGCATTTTGTGTCCCCTAAGCTGTATGGAGCAGGCATGATGTGGAGAAGGAAGTGCAGTGCTGCTGCCAGGTTATCGTGTTTGTCACGTTGACTGCTGACTAAAGTGCTTGTTTATCTCTTAGTTTGTGCTGGCAAATCTCTTTTGCTTAAAAATAAGCATTAAACTTTTGTCTGGAAAGCTGGGTTTCTGGGCCATGAAGAGAAAAGATGATTTCTGAGTGCATAACCCATGACCAAATTCTTAAAGGCATTTTGGCAACAGGGCTGTGCAGAGGAGCTGTGATAGGTCCTGGGTAAGTTCACTGTGCACCACCAGTGATGCAGAGCTCATTTCCATGGGCTCTGGCCTTGCATTTAGAAACACATCATGGTGGGATCAGGGAGTATGGAGACTGATGCTTTTTTGGGGAACCAGTGCGTTTCTTGGGCTGCCTTGTGGCTGGAAGAGTCTCCATGAAACCAACATCAGGGAGGTGAATCATCTCCATGCTTCCATCTCATCACAGACAGTGAGTGCACTTTGAAACCTGGCTATGCCTCTTGGCTTTTGGGCTGACATCCCTCTCTTAAACAGATCTTTTAAGTTCAAAGATTCACCCTCTTTGTTTTTTCACCCTCCAGTTTTTAAATAACTGTTTTAAATGCAGAGTACTCTGTGTTCCACTCTTCTGGGAAATGAGGTTGTTCCATGATTGCTTGAAGTCTTTGGCCAACCATTGTTGATACACAAAAGTACAGCATCCTGACTGCAGTGGTGTGTGAACCCATTTTTCTCCTTCAATATGCACTTATCTTTCTAATAGGGCATTGGAAAACATTTCTCTGAAACCCAGTTACCAGTGGCCTTTCTTACTCATTGGACTACATTCAGTGTTTGCACTAGCACTTCATTAGGAAGTCAATAGCTATTTTCTAGGGCTGTAAAAAATCACTCTTCCTCTCCTTGTACCTTATCTCCCTTTCCTGGACAAAAGTCAAGAGCCTCTTTCCCCCGCCCCTTCCCTCTTGGATATACAATTGAATACAAATGATCCAAGGAGTATGATATGCCAGGTATTTTGCACACTCATCTCTGGGGAGCTGATAACAGCAGCCCATCTCTCTGGAAACAGCCTCTTGGCTGTTCACTCCTGCTGGAGTCAGCAGCTTCTTGTAGGGCCAGGAGGTGCTCGCCTCCCTTGTCCTCCCAGCAAAGGACTTCGGAGCATGTGATGAGGTTGCATCTGATGTCTTGAGGTGCCTCAAGAATAATTAATGCTGTAAGCTCATTGACACGTTTGGTGGCAGAATTGCAAACCTCTAACCAGGGTAGTAGGGTCCTTGAAAGGTATTTCTTTAGCTAAAGGGGGAAAAATGGGCTGCCTCTGACCAGCTCTGGAGATGGTGGGAAGACAGTCTGAACTTCCTCTTTTCCCAGGGGGTCTCCCAGTGGCCAAGGTGAGCCCACCAGCCCTGTATTGTCCCAACTGTGGCAGCCTTTCCATGTAAATCACAGTTCTGACATTCACAAGGCAGTGAGGAGCTGGCTGACTAAATTCCCTTCGGGGACCACAGAAAGGGCTGGAGCCGGCGCGTGCCTCTTGGGCTGTAACGGTGGCCCATGGCTCTCGGCAGGACTGTGCTGGCTTTTGTTCCCCTCTGTCCTCCTGAAAGGAAGCGGTGAAAGGCAGCCAGGCTGCCTTTATTTCTGTGAAATGGAGTGAAATGAGTGAGGCGACCCATCGGAAGCAGATCATTAGAAATATTGGTGACCTTAAGTGATCTCTCCAGGGCTGGGAGAGGAGCAGGCGGAAAGGACATCGTGTCCTCGTTTGTCACATTAGCAGTTTATCATCCATGCTCTGCAGGGCTTTTCTGTCTCCCTTGTGAAGGAGACATCCATGTTTCCTGCTGTGGGAGAGCAGCTTCTCCAGGAGGGTTGGGCAGGCCCTCCACTAAGGCACAGGTCTAGTTGCACCAGCCTGCCTTGGCCGTGTAGACACGGCACCTTGGCCAACTTCTAGCAGATTTCCCATGTTTTCCAGTCCCACCTCTCAACCCTTGGGACCCTCTTTGCACCTTTGTCAGCTTCTATCAAGGGCTGTGCTGGGAAGCCACCTCTGCTGTGTTGCTCGGACTTTGCATGGACTGGCTTTTTCCAGAGGCTACAGAACAAGCAACCACACTTTTGCCTGTCTAGAAAGGCTTCTGGGGCGTCATCATAAGCACTTTTCTTCCTCCCTCCCACGGTGCAGGTTGGATGAAGATTTGTACTTCCCCAAAGCCCTTGTGGGAGAGGAA